ACAAATTGCATTGACGACTTTTCATAGAGCTACTCATCGTACGGATGACTCGAGCTATAACTTGAAGGCCTGCTTAATATATGAATTGACATGAGGACTCGGAGAATATTTCGAAAGTAACTAAAACTTACTGAATGAAGGTGTCGATATCTTCGATTAGAAGGTTACAAGCTCATCACAATACTAGCTCAGCTGCAATTCCTATATGAATTTGAGGTTTTGCGGTAGTAAGATCTACTATTATAGATGATTGCCTCCGCCAAGTATTGGGCACACTTTGACGGTTCGAGCAGTTAGGACGTATAATGTTTTACCATTTCTCTGTTTTCCCGTAAACATAATAGTAGATGTGTGTGTTCGAAATAGGTTTGTTGGAAAACTGACCAGTAACTTCAACCTGAATTTGAACCTATTTACTGATGGAATTAGGAAGTGGTATAGAAGAGTTATTTGTTCGTTTATGTTTTAGCTGTCTATGAGCTTTGGAATCACCTAAATTGGACTTATAAATTAATTGATTGCCTGTTGGATGGGCTGTGTGAGCAATAATCGATAAGTATACTCAGTGGTTAATACTTGAACAGATGGAAAGTTCTGTTTTATGGGAAACGCTGTTAAAAATATCGATAAAATTTAGATTAATTCTTTAATTTATTATTTAAGGAAAGTCATTTATTTAATGCATTTTTTTCTTTATATTTGTGTTTTACCTAGATCATCCGAGTTCACCTACTGGTCCTACTAATCAAAGATCCAAGCTAAAGCTTGCTCTATCTGTTGAGTAATAATAAATGATGTATATCATCATTTGTATACATGCATCGATCATTTCATATCTTATAAATATATATATACAAATGATACTTAGTATTCACTATTTTAATACTATATTATAAAAATAACATTATTTACATTATGATTTATCATATAAATTATAGTATTATAAGTATATAAGAATTACATATTTATATATATACACTCCATAATTATACTCTCATGTGCTTGTTGATCTCCTATGTGATTTATTATATTATGAATTGATTGGTTTACTTGTGATGTAACCATATTTTGCCTTGTTTACTAGTGGAATTGGGATGAAGTGGCTCACCATGAGGTTGTGATGACGGTCCAAGACCGTTGGCCATGTATGGGAGATCAGCGCTCCTGTGTGCACCTGATGAAATATGATACGAATGATATGGCAAAATCACAGAGTGGCCTCCTATTGAAAATAAAAAAGAAAGAGAGAATGGAAAAATAATGTGAGGACTGAGGAATATACAAGTTGGCCATATATGAGGATTGGCTCTCTAGTGCACACATATGAGAGGATAGACCATGTGTAAGGATGGCTTGTCAGAGGACTTGTCCGGAGATTTATGACACCACTGACCAATCTCCATTTGATGTGATTATTTGAAAGTGATATTATTTACGAATATTGATGTGGTGACATGTGCTTGACTGGACGAGTGTTCATCATGATAATTGTGGAAAGCATCATATGTGATCGTTTGAGGTATGCATTATTTATTATTTTTCACTGAGTTTTTGAAACTCACCCCTTCCTTAAAATTTTCTCATAAGATAGACACTGTGCTGGTTTAGATAAGCTCTACTTCCTTTTCCGCAGAGTTATGGCAGTAATTACAAGTTTTTGATAATATTTGAATATGTAGTATTATGTATAAAAATGTATCTACATCTACTTAATGAGCTTCGCAGTCAAGAAGTCATGTACTACAATTTATCAAGTAAAAATTATTAGTGTGTTGTTCAATAATCTATGGATTTTCTAGTTGACTCTCTAAAAATACGGATAGACCAGTTTGCACATATTATGGATGAAGTTAATAGTATGATAAAAAGTTATAAGCCCGAGCTATGAATTATTTGAAATGTAGAAGCTGGACCAGAGATATAAATCGACCATATGAATTAATAATGTCACATTATGGACTCGTTGCTCCTAAAATTGGTTTATAGAACTGGATTTATATGAGTTAGGCTTACTACAGACATCGGAGGCTTTAAGTTTATCTAGACCATAGTGTCGGTCCAGCCATGGTTTTGGGTCATAACACGTGTACTTTGTGTTATATATAATAAATAATTTTAATAATATAATAATCATTATCTTTCTAATAACTAATAATAGTATATTATTAATAATACTATAATTAGTAATAATTATAATTAAATTAACATTTAACGATCAAAACTACATAATTTTTGAACTTGATCTTAGAACTAATATTAGAACTTCGTCATTTTAATGTTGAGTTTTCAAACAAAGTCACAATCACAAAGCATCCAATTTTAAATTTTTTTTCTTTTGCATTTTTATTCGTCCTTTTACTATCTTGTCCACCGAATTCATTGTATTTCTTCTCAAAAAAAATAAAGGATTCGTCTACTCTCTTTATAATTTTAGTAAGTTATTTTCTATTCTATAATTGTTATTAATTTTAATAGATTATTTTTTTTGCTATTTATCATTTTTTCCATTTTTTTATCAATCTTTTGGTTTTTACTTTTTTATGCTCTAATATTCTTTTTTTTTTTGTTGCGTTTATATGTTGTTTTTCTTGCTTCTTTTATTTTTTTAATGTTAATTAAAACCCTTACTTGTATGAATTATTATAATTAATTTTTTATTTTGTTAAGAATCTCATATTGACTAAATACCAAATCCACAAAGAACATGGGTTCTTCTGGTGATGGGGATGCTCAAGCATCACCTGACCAATTCGGAGATGAGATCTTTGAAGATATAGACTCATGGGCGGGCGAGGTTAAAGGTAGAAAGGAGAACGTTAGGATAGTCGATGTTCCCTGTGACATAGATAAGGACGAGCTATTAGATATATGCTTTATGTATAATATTGCGCCAAAGTACAAATTGATTAGACTTTCAGAGAACATGAGGATGATCGAGCTATTAAATGAAGACTCTATCATGATGCATGAGGAAAATTTCTGAGTCTAAACCTCTGAGGTCGTTCTTCATGAGTACAATATCACCACTAGTCAGCTGCATCCTAATGGTTTGAGGTTCGTGTGCACTATAGCCATGTTAGCTCGCCAAGATTGGCACACTTTGACGGCTCGAGCAGTTCGCGAGCTTTACCATTTCTCTGTTCTCCCTAACAAAGATCATTGCTTCTTTCAAACGAAGAAAGACTGCAATGTCTTTTCAAGGAGTTCTAAGATTTCGTCTTTGAAGAACTGGAAATCAAAGTATTTTATTGTTAAAAGATCAGGAGTGTTTGGAGTGCTGAACTAGTGGTCTAACGATCCTCTTCGCCATCCACCTGCCTAGCCCACCCCCTATGATCGTATCTGTGTGAATTTAATAAAGCCTCGGGGACTAGGATCTGTTAACCTAAGGTAGGTGAAAGCCGGGGGTTATCCAGTCTTCTCTCCTAGTGGACCTATGAGGGCTAATCCTTCCCCAACTAGTAAATTTTGTCCTTAGTTGTATTACCCTTTAATCCTTTGTACTGACCTTTTTTTAATTTTTTCTTCTTACCTTTATGTAGGTATAGCTCCTAAGAAGGCCAAGAGTTCCAAGATGGCCAAGGTGGCCAAAGCGATGAAGAAACAGGTTGCTGCTGATAGTGTATAATTATTATAAATGAATTTCTTTTGATTATCATGTATTGCAATTTTAGTTTACTATTAGATTTTAATTTAAAGAAATATGATATCAATGTGGATAATATTGTATTAATTTTTAACGGGAAACTGGAACTAAAATCAAGGAACCAGAACCAAAGAATTGAAGAACCAAACTGAACTGAATTGAATTAAGTTTGATTCTGGTTCCATCTCTTAAGTCGTTTGGTTTTGGTTTTAGTTCCAAATTTAATACGAACCGAACTGTGGTTTTGAGTCTGGTTCTTATCGAGAACTGAACTAAAACCGAATCAGCATAACCCTAATCATGAATAAGACATAACACCATTAAGAGAATCTTGAATCACAAGAATACCTAAAGCATAATGAAAGCAAAACTAGCTAGCCAATTCACACAAAATTAACTTCACAATAAATGTAAGAGATTTGTAAGCTTTAGCCACGAAGGAAAAGAAGCTTAGTTCACTCAACTATGATTGAATAATCCTAGTAGGACCAATATCCCTTTGAACTATTTTCACACAACATATTATCATATTCAATACATGTAGTATTATTTGTTGAATTAAGGGCCCATTTAATTTAGTTGTTCATATCAGCGGATAACCGATAGTTGGTGGCTGATGGCAGATGGATGATAACGGTTAGCTAATAAATTTTAGTGTTTGGTAACATTTTGATAACGGTTGCTGTTAAAATGTTGAATGACCATTAATGATATAATTATTTTTTCATAATTGTGATGTATAATATGTACATATTTTCATTTTTAAAGTGAATATATTATTTTTTATTCTAATGTATTATATAAATAAAAAATAATTAAATTTTTAAATAGTATATTAATAAATATTATTATTTTTAAATAAATATAAATAAAGTAAATATAAAAATATTAATTTAAAAATTTTATTAGTAGTTTTTTTAAAAGTTAATGGAGTCTAAATAAAATAATATTAACAGTTAAATTGAGACCTCTATCAGTCATTACTGTTGATGAAAATGCTTATTAAATACAAATAAAGTGTTGGTTGGGGTGGTAAGTGATTTCAATCTCCTCGTATAAATCGATTGAACTATACCATACTTCTCCTAAATTGTTTATTTTAGTTTTTTAATAAAAATTTGGGTTAAATACATTTAACTAAACGAAATTTATCCTTTGAAAATTTTAATTAATAAAAATATAAATTTTAAACAGTAAAATAAATAAAAGAAAAATGACATTAATCAAAAATTAGCAAAATGACATTAATTAATTAACAATATGATTATGCCAAAATTAAAATTTAAAAACAAGTTAAAGTTGTGGTAGTTTATAACTGTATATATTTAACCCTTAATTCCAAAATAATTATCATTCTCTCTCCCTAACGCCAACACAAAGATTTCATGACCCAAACACGACCCAACATTGACACCCTCGCCTTCTCCTTCCTACTTCTCTCGGATATCTCTTCGTCCCGATTATTTTTCCCTTCTATTTTTTTAAATTTTATTTTCCATTACTAATTCTTTATATATTTGTACTTAACATATACACGACCCATACTTTATTGATTTGTTTATTTATTTTTTGTTCTGTTTTGAATCTCAATTTTTTCCTTCTCTGCTAATTACCTCTCTTCTTTCCCGATCTCTCCGATCATATTGAGCGGATGCTGCAGTTTTTCTTGACTAGGTTTTATTCAATTATAGGTCAGAATTTTTCTTTTATTATTTTTTTCCAATTAGGGTTTTGTGGTTTAAGCTGATTTTTACGTTTTGGTGAATTCTCAGTATGTTAATGTAACGATGAATCAAGGAGTTAATATGCAGAGTATTTCCCATGTCGACCCGAATTCGCTTGAGGTGAAGTTTTTTAGTTCTTTATCAGCTTAACTTATCGATGTTCTAATTGTAATTTTACCTTTTGCTTTTTGGATTTGATTTAGTTGGGGGGCATAATTACTGTTATTCATCGAACATGGAGCAGGATTTGTACTTTCTTTTTGTCGTTCAGCTTCATTACTTGCTTGTTTGAAGTGGATTTTTTTTGCTTTCTTGAATTTGGAGTGATGTTATCAACAATTGTTATGAATTGTTGGTTGAATTCCAAGTTTGCTGTCAATCTTTGCCACATAACGTGATTTTAGGCGAATAGTATGATCAAAGTGAACAATATCTTGGGAGGGGAGCTATTGTGTGTATTTAAGTTGGATTGTAATGATTTGATCTGTAGACTAGATCCTTTGATTTTAATTTGGATATCCATGTTGTTTTGACTGACTGTATTGAAATATTTTGATGTTTGTATTGCAAGTGTAATGATCTGGTTCCTACCTCTGGACTTCTTTTCTAAAAATGTGTGTGGGTTTTAAGTGTTGACAACATTTTTCATGTCTATATTCGCAAGAGAAATTTTTACTGGTTCTATTATTTAAAAATTTGCTGTATGTATATGTGTATGTATATGTATGTATATATGCATGTAGATCTCATGCTTTGCAGTTTATTTTTATGAACTGTTACTTATGAATATCATCTCTTTTGTGCTAAGTTAGCAGATAATCATAATCAGGAAACATTGCATGGATCCTAATTAACTTTCAATTAGATAATAAAGGTTATTTCAGGCATTACCATTGAATTGGGAGTATGATGAAGTTCAAGCTTTAAAGATTTTGTTTGCTGCTGCTAGGAACAGTATTCAATTTTTTGTGTTAAAATTATTTATTTCCTAACCGTTCCTGTGCTTCCCTTTATAAAGCTTGTACTGTTTTGCCTCTTCAAAGTTTGACTCTGGAAGTTGTAGCTTGTATATATGTGAATTAGTAATTGTGGAGTTTTTTTCCCCTATTACGGACATTTTATTCTCAAGGAAATTACATTTAGTGCAAGGGAGTGAATTCAGATTTTCAATAAATGTGCACAGCCCCAAGTAGTAACCTGCCAATTATGATGCGTATCTTCTAAAATGCTTCTATTCTTCACATTCTAGAGAGCACTGTGGATTTAAACTCTCTCTGTTGACATAATAATCTCTACGAATAAGTAAAAGGATTTAAGCAAGAAGTGATTTGCTATTATGGATTCTGCTTATTCTGCCCTTCAATATCATACACCTCTGCTTGTTTAACTTTAATAGTTTAAATTTACTCATTGCTGTTTTTGGAGACACTTATAGAATAGCAATTGCTATTCATGGTCTCTCTAAACTTGCTGCAGTGAAATGTTAGCTAATTATTATTTTGTCTCTCATTTTATCTTTTAGTATCTTTGTGGCTTTCATTTTCTATGTAGTTGAGTTTGTTTCTTTGATTGTTTTAGGATTCGGTTGACTTCTGCAGTTATTTAAACACTAACCAACTTTTATTCACATCTCTTTCAGAGTCGATATGTTGTTGATGCAAGCCAGCCACATGCTTCTTCATATCTTCCGCCCACAACTGAAGCTGCTCCATGGACCATGCATAGGGTGGATAATCGTTCCACAGAATCCACTTATCACCATGATCAGCAAACAGAGCCACCTGCAAGATCTGTCCAACAAGGCCTGAATGCAACATCTCTTGCTAGTTCATCGACTTTGGGGACAGCAAGTGCCTCACAGGACTATAGTAGCTTTGCGTCATACTCGAATCCTACAGATCCATATGGTTATGCGAGCACAGGATATCCAAGTTACTATAATGGCTATCAACAGCAACCTAACCATTCATATTCTCAGCAGCAACCTAACCATGCATACTCTCAGCCTCTAGGAGCATATCAAAACACAGGTGCTCCTTATCAGCCTCTTTCCTCATTTCAGAATACAGGGTCTTATGCTGGCACTCCAAGTTATTCAGCCACTTATTACAATCCTGGTGATTATCAGACAGCTGGAGCTTACCCAAGTAGCGGATACAGTAATCAGACTGCTTTATGGAGTGATGGAAATTATGCAAACTATACAACTCATCAGTATGCAAACTACACTTCAGACACAGCAAGTGCTTATAATTCTGGTACTGCAGCTGCAACTCCAATAAATTACCAACAGCACTACAAGCAATGGGCAGATTATTACAACCAAACAGAAGTAACTTGTGCTCCTGGGACGGAACACTTGTCTGTTGCTAGTACATCTAATCAGGTGAACTCAGCTTCTGGTGTTACTGGGGCATACCCAAATTCCAACAGCCAGCATCCCTCTTCTTTCACCACGTCTTGGAGGCCGGAATCCACTTCATCTGAGTTGCCTTCTTTACAGGTTTGGTTTTTCTTGTCACCTAGAACTTAGAAGAATCACAAACTTCATGAATTACACAAGTAAATTGGTTATTAGTGTGTAATTGTAGTTTAAAACTAAAGGAATTTAATAGACAGTAAGAATGTTGTGCTTCAAAAATTAAGTGAACTAGAATGTTGTGTATTAGATACCGAGAGAATGAAAACCACTTTTGTGGACCGAGTAATCCAGGTTCGCCCCTCTCACCAATCGATATATGTAAAATAGAATGCTATGACTATCTTTATATAAGTGATATCTTTTCCTGATGCCATTATTTTGTTATTGGCTTGTTGCAACACTAAATTTCCAGGTAGTTATTCTGCATTATTTGGTTTATGGCAGACTACCTTTGTTATTGCTTTTGGTTCATTACATATTCCAAAATTTGGTTACTCTACTAACTTTTCCTTTCTCTGATTTTCTTATCAGGGGGGCTCAACTACTAGTGGTACTCATGATGGCTACTGGAAACAAGGAACTTCAAGTTTTCAAAATAATCATGCTAGTCCTACTCCTATGCAACCACACTTTCAAATAACTTTGGATTCAAAATCTTCTTATGATAATTTTCAGGAACAACAAAAGACTAATCCTCAAGTTCCTAATTCACAATATCCTGCTGCTCATCAGGTGCCCCAGAGTTATCAATCTCCTGTACAAACAGTTCCATCACTAGATACGCGAAGGGTAAGCAAATTGCAGATCCCAACAAATCCTAGAATTGCTTCAAATTTGGCTTTGGGTTTGTCAAAACCCGAAAAAGATGGCTCTGCAATTGCTACAGCAGTGGCAAAACCTGCCTATATTGCTGTCTCAATGCCAAAGCCAAATGATAAAGTGTTGTCTAATGATGCAGCGGACTCAATACTTAAGGTATGATTGTTTTATTTATGGAGTTCTTCCTGTTTGATGGTTAACTCTTGATCTTTTGTGACTCGAATGTCCTAAAACCTGATATACGGTTGCCTGGCACCCTTGGATGATTTCTTGCCTTCGGACCCAAAACACCTACTTTATCTATTCGACATTCATAATCTACATTCATGCGATGGTTGGTAACTTTTTTATTGCTTGCAGCCTGGTATGTTCCCCAATTCCCTACGCTTCTATGTTGAAAGGGCATTGAGACGTTGTCAAGATCACTGTGAAAATGATCCACAAATGGCAGCTTGTCAGTCTGTTATGAAGGAGGTCAGTAGCATTAGTCAATAAGCTGCTCTAATTAGCAGTTTGACCTCTGAATTTCAAATTACATTTGTTGATTTACCTTTTCCGGATGGTCCCCCACTTCTTTGATGGCATGATGTTAATTTTGGAACTAATTCCCAAAAAAAAAAAAAAAACGCACGCTTCCTTCCAATCTGAATTACTCACTTCACGAGTAAATTGTTTTTGAACTTGTGAATTCAAAATTCTAATTCAGGAATTATATATATTGTTTTATTTATGGAGGTGTCTTGTCGCTTTTTGGAATGTGTTTTGGCGTTGGGACTCTTTCTTTGAAATAACGAGTAATCGCTCCTAAAACTAGAGGTATACGGTATAGGCCTGGTCACCCTGCATGATTCGTTGCACTTCTGGACTCCCTAGATAATCAGACGCTAATCACTTAGCTGTATCTCATCTTCTACTCCAAACATACCATCTCATGCCTGTGCTCCGGGATTGGTTACACATATTTTTTATTATGATAGTGCACGCCAGCCATGTTGGTATTGCTTCCCCCAATTCCCTCCTCACGTTCTTATCGGTCTGAAAGGGCATTTGAGACGTTGTCAAGATCCACTGTGAAATGATCCCACAAAATGGCAGCTTGTCAGTCTGTTATGAGCGAAGGTCTCAGTTGCATTAGTCAATAAGCCTGCCTCGTAATAGCAAGTTTGAACCTCCTGAACTTTCAAATTACAATTTGTTGATTACCTTTTCCGGATGGTCCCCCACTTCTTTGATGCATTGATGTTAATTTTGGAACTTACAGTCCAAAAAAAAAAAAAGAAACGCACGGCCTTCCTTCCAAATCTGAATTACTCACTTCACGAGTTTAAATTTGTATTTTGAACTTGTGAATTCAAATCTGACTCTCAGTAATTATATATATATATATATATATTAATACTATGTAATAATATTATACTATATATTGTATTGTATTGGGATAAGGATTCTGTAGACCTTTTGGACTTGTACCCTTTATATATATTGTATGTATTGGGATAAGGATTCTGTAGACCTTTTGACTTGTCTTACTGTTGATGCTCTCATATTCACACTCCCATTCTCATTCTTGCTCCTTGTACTGCTTCCACTTGGTGCATCCCATGCTAAGCCCGCATTTTGTACTTAGCATTGAAAAACAAGTTATCTAATTCCATGTTTCTCATTGTTCAAAATAAAAGTGAATATTTGGCAATAAGCAGACTGCAAAATATATAACATAAGGATGATTTAGTAATATGGAATGAGTCTTGCTGGAATGACGATCTTCAATTGTATTTTCAGTTTTTGTGAAACCATGACCCTCTTGCCACTTTAACATCTGCCCATATCTTGGCTAATGTGATGCGCAATGGCAAGATGTTGGCAAGACAAGCAAAGAACAATGAATACTAAATAGTACCTAAAGCGAAGGTTATTAAAATTGGGGTCCTACATTGAATCAGTGGGGAGGTCTATAGGATTGGATTGGGAATTGTAAGATCCTAGAAATTGTAAATAGAAAATTAAAAATACTAAAAACATTTTTTCATAATCCTTTATTCTTAAAGCATGCCTCATAATTTTGACCACAAGTAGCTAATACAAACATCTGCCACTGGAAGTATTGACCAACCCATAGTTACCTAATTTGCTCAAACTCCAAGGGTACCATTACCTGGGATGTGCATCAGGGATCACGGTGCTTTGGCAATTTGGATTTTGATGGTGCACAATGTGGATCCAAAGCTAGTGATCCAGTTTTTATTTGAAGAAGAAAGGAGATTATGAACTTTTGATATGGAAAACATCAATGGAGCAAAGACAAGCAGTATGTGAGAATGTTGTGATGTGCAAAAGTTTTGTTTTCCCTGCTTTTCTTGTTGGGACAGATGGTGTTTCTCACTCTTTCTTTTTTCTCCTCCTTTCAAAACTTAACTCCCATTCTCCCATTTTAAATTTGCGCCTTCTTTAACATAGTACCTTTGGGCATTCTCTAATATAATACCAATGGGCCTTGTTCTGACTGTTTGCTCTATTATGGTCTTATTCTTTTTATGAAATGAGTTATCAGCGCATTTTGACTAAGTAAATCATTATACATTTAAAAATTGGTTTAGAAAATTTTGTAATATGGCCTTTAATATTTAAGCAAAAAAAAAAAAAAAAAAAATGGAAATACCAATGGGCCCTGTTCTGGATGTTTGCTCTAATTAATTGGTCTATGAGTTATCAGGGCGCTATTTTGACTAAGTAAATCATTCTATACATTAAAAATGTTTTAGGGATAATTTCTGTAAATTGGCGCCCTCTCAGCGTACTTTAAGCGCAAAAAAAAATAAGAGAAATACATAAAAACTTAATGAATCTTAAATGCAATTCTCAGTGGCCACCGCATTCGCCTTTAGATACCTCACCAACAATTATCGGTCTATCATTTAATCTGCACTATACTATTATATATGTGTGCTATGGATGGTATAGATAAAAACCTCTCGTGAATACTTTTATACTCAACCTTATATAAACTATAAAAGCTCTTAGTCTTTACGGTCAATATTTTGCTCCCACTCGTCTGTGCTTATCCCGTGTGCCACCCATGTTGTTATTTAAAAAAAAAAAAAAAAAACTTAATGAATCTTAAAAATGCAATTCATGCACCACATTCCTTAGATATACAACAATAATGGTCTTCATTAACATTATTATTATGTGCATGGATGGAAAGATAAAACTCTTAATCTTTTACTCAACTTATATAACTTAAATTTAGTTTTCGTATTTTTGTCTTATATTCACCATGTTGTTTTTGTACTTCAGTATTTGCTTGTTAAAGTAAAAAAAATAGATGGAGAATTACATTTTATTAGGAAAAATAGATTTTTTATTATCTTCTGCATTTTTAATAACCTTTATGGACTTGTTTAATTTCCTTAAATATTTGGTTTTAGTTCTTCAAAATAATTAGATCTGAAACCATTAGTAAAACAATTTTTTTATTAGTATTTGGAAAATTTGGTAGAATCCTACTTTGGACCCCAATTCTGAAATGATCTCATACGATTCTGTACAGTCTTAAAAATCCTGAACCAATTTTACAATTATTCTTCTAGTGGAAGAATTCTACAAGCTGGATTGATCAGCCAAATTTCGACCTGGATGGGGATTTTAACAACCATGCATAAAACCACACTGAGAATAGAACTACATAAATATTCTGGTATGAAGTTTTTGGTAACATTAAGTATGCGTGCCATACTATAATATTTGATCATCACTTTCCTGTTGATTACCTCACATTTGTTAATTCATTGTTTATTTTCTTTGTCCTACTTCAATCACATTTAGAAGATTTGATAGTTAACAAGCTTTTGGTAGTGGATTGATTTAAATTTTAACCGTTATTCAAATTGAGGCTACATGTGCTGAGTGCTGTTACTTGAAACAATTTCTTTGTCTGTCCTTTGCGGTCGTTCATTTTTATAGATCTTACCTAGCGGGCTATCTAATACATGCATCATAAATGATATCTTACTTTCTTGCTAATGTTGTGGTTCCTTTTGAATTTTGGTGACATTTATGTCAAGTATTTCTCTTCTTCTTGTCCAGATTATTACTAAGGCAACTGCTGATGGCACGCTTCACACTCGGGACTGGGATACTGAGCCCCTTTTTCCTTTACCAAACCCTGATTTGCCCAATAAGGAGTGTGTATTCTTTCTCTGTCCATATCTTGTTATTTATGTCTCTCTCTTTATTCTTGTTATTTTGTTCCTTTCATCACTTTCGTAATCTAATTTCTGCTTGTAGGAATGAAAATTTGGACACAAGTTGTTTATTCTAGTAGTGCTAATTTCTAATATCTTTTCTGGGCCATAGGAGTTCACAATCTTCAACTCCTGTTGCTTTATTACCGAAGTACAAAAGGAGTCCAAGTAAACGATCTAAAAGCCGGTGGGAGCCTTTACCTGAGGAGAAGTTGGTTGAAAAACCTATTTCCATCACTATTGATAGTGTAAAACATGCTGGTTGGGATAGGAAGGTATATTTTTTTTGTTCATATTCTACTATTTAGTTCTTTTAGTGTGAAGGTAATATCTCTGGCTTTTGCATGGCTAGCAATTTAGTGTTATTCAAATGATTAAATCTGGTTTTTATCATACTAATTTTATTTCACACTGCAGCCTTTAAGTGGGAATTCCGACAGCAAGGATGATGCCTTCGGTGACATTAAGTTTTCTTTACCAGAGAACAAAACGAGTAAAAGTGCACAGAGACCATTCAAGAAACAACGTCTTGCTGATGGTTTCAATGGCGTTGAAAATGGTGATGTGTCAAGTGATAGTGATAAGGAACAAAGTTTAGCAGCTTATTATTCTGGTGCAATAGCACTTGCAAATTCACCAGAGGAAAAAAAGAAACGTGAGAATCGCTCTAAGCGTTTTGAAAAGGGGCAAGGGCATCGATCAGAAATTAATTACTTTAAACCGAAAAATGCTGGAGCTGGAAATTTGTACAGTAAACGTGCTAGTGCTTTGATGCTTAGCAAGAATTTTGATGACGGTGGAAGCAGAGCAGTTGAAGACATTGACTGGGATGCACTTACTGTTAAAGGGACCAGCCAAGAAATTGAGAAACGTTATTTGCGCCTCACTTCTGCACCTGATCCTTCCACTGTAAATATCCGATGTTTTGCTTTTCTAGTTCTTTTTAATTTTCTTAGATGGCAAAGTCCAAGAGTTCATTTGAAATGGAATTATTTTGATTAAAATATATGGTGTTTACAGGTGAGGCCAGAAGAAGTTCTAGAGAGAGCTCTGCATATGGTTCAAAATTCCCAGAAGAACTACCTTTATAAATGTGACCAATTGAAGTCTATTCGCCAAGATCTAACTGTACAACGAATACGGAATCAGCTAACGGTTAAGGTATATTTGATTCTTTGATATCAAAAGTTTCATGGTTTTTAATTTGGTCAAAGCTTCACTTGAGTTTAGATGAGTGCATATATATCAGAATTGTGGGTCTTTTCATAGTTAATGCTAATCTTTTAATCATTTTCAGGTTTATGAAACTCATGCTCGGTTAGCGGTGGAAGTAGGGGACTTGCCCGAGTATAATCAGGTTGGTCACTTTTTTTAGTTGGCTGAGAAACATTTTTGATTCTTTCTCACAGGACTGCCTTTCTTTCTTCTCTTTTCTTTTCTTTTCTTTTATTTTTTGGCATTAGTTATGCATCAATGATTTCACGGTCTTCTTCTGAAGTCATTTTCCTTCTAAGGGCTAGCCTCCTCATTCTTCTAAGGAAATAGTTCTGCATTTTCAATGTGACATTACCGATGGCAGTTAAGTCTAAAGAGTTATATCTGTGGTACAATCAAAGACCATTGAGATGTTGAAGAATGTTTAAACTGTGTAGAGGAATGGTGTGTGAAAAGTATGAGTTTTTAAGATACCTATTTATTACGTCTTCTGTGTCATACTCAATTTAGCTTAGTGAAGTTTTAGCCTACATTCTCGGCCTTTCTTCTAACAATTATTCAAAAACCAATGCTTATCAGTGTTATCTTTACTGCATATGCATGTTAGTCATTTATAAGCTAGAAGCTTGGGTCATAGAAAGTTTGGAATCTAGTGGCATTTGACAGCCATAACATGCAAATGAAATGCTCAGATAGACATCTGAAACAATCAAGAAGTTGTTTCTTTCAATACCATATTATTTAATGCTTTTAGTATATGATAAATATAATTCACATTGATGCTTATACTTTGATTCAATTCTTTGTGTCAGTGCCAATCACAATTAAAAACCCTCTATGCTGAAGGAATTGAAGGATGCCATATGGAGTTTGCAGCTTACAACCTACTTTGTGTTATCTTGCACTCTAATAATAACAGAGATCTTGTATCATCAATGTCGAGGTTAGTAAAATTAGCATAATTTTGGCTTTGTTAGAATTTTGTTTTAACATATATCTTAGTTGAGGTCCCCCATTACACGGTTACTTGATCATGAACTGCATTCCTGGTTATGTGCATATTGATGTTTCTCTGCCATATATATGCATTTTGTGTTGATAGTTATGATAAATTGATGACATGATATTTTTCCTCTTATGGATAATTCACTAGTGAATTGACTAATTTTTGTTCGGCAATATTAACTGTTTTAATGGATGTTAGCTGTCATAGTAACTATTAGTTTTTAGCTGATAGATAATTTATATAGTGGTTTAAGTTAGAAGTCTTCGGTAAAAATAATTGTTTAACCTAAAATTACATGAACGGACATTAGTTGTTTAATTAGCTGAACTCGGAAAAAAAAACAATGGATATGATTGTCAAAAAAATTTAATTAATTTATGTGAAACGCTAAACGTTAAAATGTTGAACGTTGATGAAAAACTCCCTCAACTTCTAGAAGTTATTATAAATACTATGTTGCCGACGATACAATTAATAGAGATAGAGTTTTGACTTAGTCAAAGACGCTAAAAGCTAGCTCAAAACTGTTGTAGGAAAGCATTAGTTCAAAACTGTCTTGTTTTTTGATGTTCCATTTTCAGCTTTCAGAAAGCATTCCACTCATTCATCTTGATGTTTTCAAATACATCTGTTTGTGCACTTGCTAAATTACAGTTGTAGAACATTCCCCATTGTGAAAAAATTTTTAGCAGTTTTGCATGTGGTTTTAGTACTATAATGTTTGCTTTCGGTAATGGTTGGTTGATTATATTTACTTTACAAATATTGCTTAATTTCTGAAACAACAGCAGCATTAATGCTTTACCCATGGTTGTAAAATCTTTTTTTTTTTGTGGTCACTATTCCTGATACAAGGAACTATTCTTTGAGAAACTCTATTCTATGTTGACTGTTTTCTTTGGCTTTGACTAATTTATGTGGAGTTTTAAAGTATTTTGGAAGGCTCATTTACCTTCTTTGATTGTTCTTTCTCTTTCTCCTTTCTTTCATAGCACATACTGCACCAAAGATTTGGAAAGATGGTTAAAATTTTATCCAGACTGCATATTCTCTATCATTCTTTTAATGCACATGTGCTTCTCTTCTTCTCTTTTTTTATTTATTTTTTATTTTATGGGTAATGTATATGGTGTACATGGAGTGTGCTTATCATGTGCTGATTCTACATTCATAGAAGCAGATTGTTCCCCCTCCATTAAATACTTCTTACAATAACCTTGAATAATAAATACAATTTTGTTGTTGGAGTGACCAGATTAACAAAGGAAGCTAAGAAGGATAAAGCTGTTAAACATGCTCTTGCAGTTCGTGCAGCTGTCACCTCGGGAAACTATGTTATGTTCTTCAGACTTTATAAAACAGCTCCTAACTTGAACACGTGCCTTATGGGTGGGTATATATTTTGAAATTCCCCCTTTTTTCATTTCTAGTGATTAATTCAATGTGTGATAAGTCATGATAATTTTTGTATTTTTGCAGATCTTTATGTTGAAAAGATGCGGTATAAGGCTGTGAGTTGCATATCACGTTCATATCGCCCTACAGTACCTGTTTCATATATTGCACAGGTTTTGGGCTTCCCCAGTGCAGCTGAAGGACATGACCAGGACTCAGCTGGATTAGATGAATGTATTGAGTGGTTAAAAGCACATGGGGCATGCCTCACGGCAGATGGTAGTGGAGAGTTGTTGCTTGATACGAAGGTATTTCCAATTTTGAATTTTTCTTTTGGTGTAATTTTCACAGGAATGTTTATTTCATTCCTGTATAAGAACCAAGCTTTGGAAGTCCAGTCCTGTCAAGATTTAGTTATGTTTGCTTTCAACAATTTAAGGTCTAGTGAGGTATCAGTAGCATTTGCTTTCAACAATTTAAAGTGTAGGGGGCCAAATGAAGTTATTCTTTCCTTGCTTAACTCACCTAAATAGTTTGGTTTTTTCAGTTTTGTAAATTCAGCACAACTTGTTTTTACTCAAACTGAACAAAAAAACTGACCTGAATGAAAAACTGTAGACTAGCAAAACATTTCAGTTTCAGTTTCGTTTGGTCTGGCCCTTTCGATTTTTTTAATACAAAAAATCAAATAGAACCAAAAATAACTGAAAATTCAGGATTTAAAATGAACTGAACCAAATTTCAGAATTAAGGCCGTTCGGTTTGGTTTTTCAGTCAAAACTGAATGGTGATCACCCCTTTCTTTCATAGTTTTATTGGATCACATGGATATATGCTCTCTGGTTTTCTAAAGGCCAGATATGGCTACCATATGAAAGACCATTAGTGATGGAACCAGAATTGGCAGTTGGTATAAGATGATTAAAGCTTTCCAGGATCTATGCAGATTTTCACAACATTTGTCATGGAGACACCAAGTTTCCAGTTTCTTTTCCCTGGCTTTGCAACCCCATCAGCAGAGCATTTTGGTCTCTTTTAGTTCTCTATTTTTTGTTTAGCATACTGTTAATGACCTAATTAGACTTAGGAACCGGGTCCAGTGGGTTATGGTTAAAGCATGTTTCAGTTTTTTGTGGATGAAATTTGTGTTGAATGACCACATGGTATAAGCTTTTGGATGTTCGGTTAATATGTATGCTAGTTCATTGGTTAATGTTTGTTTTGAATTAATGTTGAATGTTTAATGTGCAGGCTTCTTCTTCTAGTCTATACATACCAGAACCTGAGGGTTCTGTGTCACACGGAGATGCTACTCTGGCTGTTAATGATTTTCTGACACGGACAACCTTGTAGCGAATGCGGTTGTATCTAGTTGTATTTTGATTGCTTCAGTAAAAGAAAAATCATGGAAATTGTGCATCCCTCAACAATATGATGTACAAATTGAAGATTTGGGTTAATTTTCTGACTTGGAACTGAGAGGTCAAGCTGGCAGAGGGATTGCCTGTAACTTTAGCAAGAGTAGTTGATAGATGTACAAAACGAAACACACGCACGAGGAATAGAGCACAGATTCCCCTTTAGAATCGCATTGCAGAGGGACAGAGAGAGCTAGAAAGAAGCACCTTAACATAACGCTTTAGATTCTTCCTTTTTGTCTTATAAAACAATGATTCATTTTTTAATTGGGGAGGATTGGAAAATGTTAAATATTTTACTCAGAGATGAGAAATGAAATAAGCACAAATAGCTCTGTTGTATGTTTTATTAATTACAATTTAATGATTTTTTGGGCATGCATCTGTTTTTCTTTAGCCTTTTTTGAAAAAGAGAATTTAAGGAAACATTTAATGCATATGAAACAGAAAGATGATTTTCTTTTATCAATTCAAAATTATGTATAGATAGAAAAATTATCTTTTTGTGTCATTCTAACCTATTAGCAGGTAAACATGACTAGTTACATATATATGTCATTTATTCTTTGTAAATTTCTACTTTTTTTCAGCAGAAAGAAAATTGGTAGAAAATCTTTTATTTCTCTGTTATAAATTATTTTTTATATATTTTAATAAATTTAACCATATCCTTATTCTAAAAAAAAATCTAGGCAAAATCTAACTGCATCTAATACTTCTTGAATATATATTATAATATTATAAATCAAGTAAAGGAGAATTTAAAAAAAAAATAACAATAATATATTCTTTTAGAGAAACAAACAAAAATGTTTAAACATTTAAAACATGTTTTAGTAATTAAGTAATCATTTTTGTTTTTAGCTTAAGTAATATTTATTTATTCATTAGTAGGTATGAAATTATTAACATTCTACACTCTAGTTTTATCAAAACTGAGCATTTTGATAAAATAGGTTAATTTATATATTTTACAATTAATAGTTCATTATTATAATTCTCTACTAACTTGGCAACTAATAGTTCATTATGGGAGAATTGGCAAAATTACCAGAATTTTTCCTTTTTCTTCCAATTAAAAAAATATTAAAATAATAAGTAAACAAGTTTAAAATCCACAAAACAAAAATTATTAGATTAACCAAACCCAACATAATTATTAATTAACACAAAATTTTCCAATAAAAATTTAAAAACAAAAGGAATATTAGAAATTCTTAAAAATTTCATTCTTTGGCCGGAGAAGGAGAAGATTGAGGCCAAACGCTAACTTTCTCCTTCTCATACTTAATATACAAACCAGCAACCGCCGCTACGAAATACACCTGAATTAAAACTATTGCCGGCGTGTGGTAATTAATTACACCTTTACCAGTCGCCAACTCCACCAAAATTAACGCTGTTAACCCCAAAATCGCAATCCGTCCATTTAACCGCTCGCTATACGGGCTAAACCCAAACTCCACTTTCAAACCATCTGACACCGGCTGCTTTAATGCCACCGGCGGTAGGTACATTCCAGATCCTGATCCAGATTTCGATACTCCTTTCTTGGACTTCCTGACCTCAGCTTTCTTTCCGGTTCCGCTTCGGTAGCGGAGGCGGACGTTGGATAGACGAGACTCGAAAGGGTCGCCATCGGATTCAGATGCGGATACGGGTTGGGAAGGTGAATCATCATCGGTAGTGGCGCGAACGGTGAAGGAGAAGCAGTGGGGCTTGAGTGTAGAGGGGAATGAAGCGCGTGGAGAAGCAAACGGTGTCGTTGGGAGTTGGAGAGTGGGTAATGTTGCCATTGACGTTGGTTTGTTTGTCCGTCTGTTTGGATAGAAGAATAAAGTATTGTGTTTTCGATTTGGATATATTTTAGTGGTTGGAATTGCTTACAAGTGAATGGGAGTAGTTAGGGCCACGTGTATATGTATGCATATATTTTATGCCAAAATGTGTTTTTTTTTTTTTTTTTTTTTTTTCTTTTTTTATTTTTAGATTTATTTATATGTTAAAATTTTTTTTTTTTTTTTTTTTTTTCTTTTTAGATTTTTTATATGTTAAAATTAAAATATATTATATCACATTATAAGAAAAAAATTTTTTTTTCCTTCTTTAGTAAATTTTCCTTATTTTTTTCAGCCAAAACCCACAAAGCATTTCTCATTCTATTTCTCGATTCATTTTCTTTCATAGATAGCATGAGATAGTCATTCAAATTTCCAAACACACACGGTTACACAAATATTACCATATCTAGCAAATAAAATCAAACAAACAAATACACCCATTTTACTCAGACAGGTAAACATTGAAATGCATAACAGTATCTACACCGTCTGTTACGTGTTGATTCTCCTGAGGAAGAGTTTCAACAGTCGCATACCCTTTTCCATTCTCATACTTTCCGGTTCCTCCGATCACCGCAATCTGTGATGTGTGCGACGCAGTCCTATGTACTCCAAAGAAACTAATAGTATCTTCAACGTGGCCATTACCTTCCCCATGCAACATAATAGTTAATGCCATGGTATGGCTTGTTCCGTCCAGTGAGCTTGCCAAATAGAAGCCCTGAGCCTTGCCCATTACGGCGGAACCCAGCTCATGCCCTTCTGTTAATTCGTCGTCAATCACTGTTATTGACCCAAACATGATCCTTTGTAATGTGGACGATGCCGGAATCTGGCCGGCGCTGACAAACGGTTGGTTGTTGCTGTTGACAACGTTGTTGTTGTTACCACTGTTTTGTAGTACAGTACTAGTACCGGTTTGGCCTGGGTTTAGGCCTGTGATTAATGGGGCTGTGTTAGGGTTTATGAGGTTGTTAATATTGTCAATGTTGGTTAGTGGGATCCCACCTTGGACTGGGAAGAAGTTGTTGTTCGGTTCTGAGAATGGAATTCCATTGATGTCGGTCCGGGCAATGATTCCGGTGACCACCCGCACTGACGGGGTGGATCCACCTAAGATATCGTGCATAAAGAAAGATAATTGGGGAGCTGAGGTAGCAGGATTTGCCACCGTGGCACTTGTAGGCACAGCGGTGGCCGGTCCACTAGGTGATGTGGATGTGGTGGTAGTGGGAAGAGGAATTGGTGCTGCAACAGTAATGGGAGGAGTTATAGGTGCCACATCAGCATCCGGTGCTTCCACATCAGCATCCGGTGCTTCAACAGTTGTAGGGACTTGTGGTACAGGGAGTGGTGAGTCAGCCTCATCAGGAGCAATGGCAGGAACTTGGCCACTTGGCAATGTAGTAGAGGGAGGGATAGTTAATGTGGCAGGCGGGTCCACAAAAACCGGATTTTGTGGATCCACGTCATCAAGGACTCTGGCTGAGTTGGCAGCAGAGAAAGTGATGGCTAACAAGAATATGTGGATAGTGGCTTTGAGTAATGCTTTAGCCATTTTGGTGTATGAGTTAGTAATAGATGCAAGTGATGAAGAAAGTAATAATGTGTTTGATGGAGAAATGAGGAGTCCATTTGGGTATATATAGAGAAAGAGGAGAATGATTAATTTAGAAGTGGATTTGATTAAATGGAGTTGGTTTGTACATTCTCTTAGTTGTAATACCAAATACCCTTAAATGGTTTGAGCATGATTTGGTGAAATTGACCATAATTATTGAATTTTGTGTAATCTGAATTGGACATTAGTGTTTGTGCATGCCTATAGGTTTTGATTGATTAATGATGTTTGAGCAGTTAAGGTGGCAAAATTAATTTTTTGATTAGTTAATTAATATTCTTTGAGGATCTGTCTACTCTTAATTTGGCTCACCAAAGAGTATTAAGTTATATGTATTTTCTACAGCAAAAACAAATTTTCATTCGCATATAATTAGTTTGTAAAAAGGAAAAAAAATATGAAGTCTTTCTTTGTTGATAGTTTTACAATAAACTGCATATCAAATAGTTAATTACTAAATATATTACAATAAGCTGATTGTGAATAGCTTGCTTGCTAGTAATCTACAACCAGCTCAAAACTTGTATCTCATCAACCATTAAAACAAAGGGACTATTATGATTTTTGTAGAGGGTGTATTTTAGTTAGAGATGTTCATTTTCATATGATCCGATCCAAATTTATTAGATAAAACCCGATTCGTTTATAAATGGGATTGTTACGGATATATACGAATATCCAATTTGAGACAATCCGATCGTGATATATCCAACAAACAAAAATTTAGACGTCTAATATTGGCAACTATATTATCTGTTTTTCATAATGATGTAGATACTAAAACCCTAAAGGGTGGCAAAAAGAAAAAAAAAAAGAAAAAGAAAAAGAACCCTTGTCTACCAAATATAGGAATAGTCTTTGTTAAAAATATATTCAATCTCTTTATCCTGTATCACCTGTATAACCACTTTAACCTCAGTACCAGATATCTCTAAAACGTAATATATCGTAATTAAAGACTTTTACTTATACAATATCCTAAAATTGACCAGTGATGATAATGAGCATCCACTGCTCAAGAACATGAGCATAGTTTTTCTTCTTCTTTAATTTCTTCTTTAGAAAAACTTATTTCCACGACAAAATGTTAATTATCTCTGCAATTAGGATTACACTGTTAATATATAATTCATGAGAGCAAAATAACAGGAACAATATAGTTATATTTATATTTCAAGTTACAACAACAGAGAAAAGATTGACAAATCAATCCTTAAAACAGTATTATTAAAAGTAATTACATAAGTGATTAGTAAAACTTTTGACTAACTAAGGTAAACATTGAAAGAAAGGAGTTTCTTAATTCCATTTTCTTCCTCTACTTCATTAACAGAACTTCCATTAACAGCCTTAATCACTGCATAGCCATTAGCACTCTGAAATTTCCCTGTTCCACCAATTACTGCAATATGAGACTCAGGCACATCCCTCTTATAAACCCCAAAAAATTTCAGTTCATCTTTCGACTCACTTGCGCCAAAATTTGCTGTTATTGCCACCATATGGCTATTTCCATCTTCTGAACTAGCAACAAATATCCCTTCTGCTTTTCCAACTACTAAAGACCCATACATTGCACCTTCAAACAATTGCTCATCAATTTTTGTCACAGTCCCAAGTTCCAACTCTTGTAGAGTAGCCTTAGCCGGAAACGATAGCCCAATTTTCGAAAACTTGAGGGTCTCCGATGAAAATCCGGCCACAGCGGATTGTGGTAAAGGGATTCCTTTATTAGGAGGAAAATAGCCTAGAGGTTTAGAGAATGGGATTTGGCTAGTGAATTTAGTGGTTGTAGGTTCTTGTGATGGGTGTGTCACATTGAGTATATTTTGCATTAGGAAAGCGATTTTGGGATTGTGCTTATTGTTGTGGGAATGTTGATGAGTTGGGGTTGGATTGCCAAAAGTCCTAGCTGAGGAGGATTGATTGATGATTGTCATTAAGAAGACTAGAAAAATTATGGCTAAAATAGAAGAGAGATTTGCCATTTTGGTGTGCATGTTATGATGGGTTTGGACCATGCTTTTTTAGTACCAATAGTTACCAACTATGGTCCCTTATAAACTAAAAAGAGAATGGGAGATTGGGTATTAGGTTTGTTTTTGTTGAGGTTGTTAAAATGGTGCAGTTGAGTTTATGGCTTTTAGGCTTCTCTATTTTTAATGACTTAAAGAAATTAACAGGAGAAGAAAAATTGAAAAGGAACAAGGATGAAACAATGGCACACTAGAATCTAGAAGAAAAGGGCAATTGAATACTGAGGGTTCCTGAATTTTGTACATTTCAAGGTCATGCATGTTTGGTTTTGTTATATAAATTTGCCCTGAATTTTATTATTTTAAAATATTCTCAATTTTCACTTTTGATTTATCAAATATTTTAATTTATAGAATTAAATTTATCGAACATTTCTAACTTACACTTTCAAAAAAGCTAAATACCATAGAAAATATATTTTAAATAACTCATTTTCTACACTTTCAAAAAAAAAAAAAAAAAAAAAAAATTTATAGAATTTCAATTTATCGAAACATTTTACTTACACTTTCAAAAGCTAAATCCATAGAACAATATATTTTACAATAACTCATTTTCTACACTTTCCAAAAAAAAAAAAAAAAAAAAAAAAAAAAAGCTCATCTTCTATTGTTTGTTGTTATATTGCTTAGTTAAAAAAAATAATTTACAACATAATAAAATTATTAAAAATTATTAGCAGATTTTGAAAATTCTCTTATTAAATATAAAAGCACACATAAAAATTATAAACTATGATAATTGCTAGTGAATGCTATTAATAATATGTATTTATCCTTAAGGATTCCAAGAATTCTTGTCATACACTCCTTCAACTTTTTTTAATAATAAATTTGCAAAATATTTTCATATTTGGAAAAATAAAAGGGCCTAAATTTTTATTTATTTATTGTCACGACCCATTTCCATGGATCGGACCGGCACTAGGACCTGGGTGGGCTTAAGGCCCCCGAACCCGTAGTAAGTCTATATTATGCAAATCTCAAATCTCTTTACTATTCATAATTGTGGATAACAGGCTCAATAATTTATTTCAATTATTATCACTAGTACAGTTCATCCTACACCCACTAGAAATATAATTGCGGAAACTTACCTGTACATTTACATCATCGATTTATTTTATCCGCTTTACAATCTCTATACTTATGTCTCCAATCCATAACATTTGTTTCTTTCTTCTATACCTGAAAAAAAAAGGTAGGCGGGGTGAGCGCCAAACCACATGAGTAGGGTTCGATAACCCTTCAACCCCACACAAATCATACAGGATGCTAAAATATTTTTATTTGTTTATCGATTAAAATTCATAATCTGCAGTTCACACCAATTGACATACAACAAGAACCATAAATTAGTATCACTTCATATTATCAATCACGTGAAATTAGTCCAATGGCACCACCTAAAACCCCCAACGATTCCGTCCTTCACACATGGCTCGCCTCTCATACATGTGCCACCAGGGGCCGACCCCCATCGGCCAAACTGGTCTAATCTCTCACTGACCGTCCTCTCATTGTTTTTCCATTCTTCTCTTTTTTTTTTTTTTTTTTTTAAAAAAAAAAATTTTCCATATCAACAGGAGGCAACTCGGTGGTCTCCATCCAATCTAGATCGTCAAGTGCTCACAACAGGAGGCCACCCTGCGAGCTACAATCAAATCTAGATTGTCAGGTGCGCAACAACAAGAAGCCATCCTGTGAATCTCCATATAATCTAAATCATCAGGTGCACAAGGGGGCGCCGATTTCCCATTTTCCCGGCCAACGGTCAAGTATTATATCATAACCGGATCCATATCACAGACCGTCCTCACAAACCCCTGGTGGTCCACTTCATCCCAATTCCACACAAACAAGGCAACGTATAGCACAGCACAAGTAATCAATCAAGCATTAATTTAAATATCACAAATAGTGCATCACAATATAGCAGTAATGCATAGATAACATTAGTCTGAATGCATGAATGAGGGCGGATGAGTGCGGGGGGATTATCTAACACTACTCACAGTTTTTTTGTTGTCCTTAAAAGGAACTGCCTTTCTTTTGTGCCGGCTTTCCCAGGCCTTTGTCTTTCGCGCTCCCAGCCTTTGTCTTCACAGTCCGAAACTTTATAAGTATCTATATAATAAGAAAATTCTACATAAGAATTCTAATTTGGAAAATGCAGTTTACAGTCATTTATTTGTTTTCATTTATTTGTTTTCGTTACTCGTCGGTTCACTAACTTATCAAACTAAACTATATATCTATAGTGCATCTTTATTTGATTTATTTCTTCTAATTTATTTGTTAAGTAAAACGTCTAATTATTTGGTAATAATTATTTGGTAATTAATATTTTATGATACTACTAATCAAAATATTTAATATGATTAATAATAATAATATTAATAATGATAATATGATTGATCATATAATATTCTTAACGTTAATAACTTTAGTCGGTATTTAATTCACTGAACTATATATAAATTCGTTCCTCTTGTTTATTTATTTCTTTGTTTATTTATCCCTCTCATAATCTTATTCTATATTTTTAATTTCTATGAATAACTTAATCGATATAAGTAATTTAGTTTCTAAAATACAATTTATTTTCTACCGACTTTTCGGCAGCATCTCCCCTAAAATTTGGATTATCCACCTGTTAAAATATCAACTTAATAATTTCAAACCACACAGCCCAGTCCATGCCCATCCATCGGGCAATTAATCAAATAACATTTTCCCATCCTCCTTCAATCTCAACATCACCACACAATCCAATTTATACATTACAATAACATTATTTTAAAACTACCTTAATTATATCAACACTAATATTATAAAGCTATTAACTATTCACAATGACCAAATTAAATTAACCAAATTAATTAACTACAAATAAAATTAATTTAATTAACTAATATTACTAACACTAACTTAACTAAACTAATTGACTACAAATAATAAAATTAATTTCATTAACTACTACTACTAAATTAATTAACTACAAATACTAAAATTAATTTAATTAACTAATATTACTAACACTAACTTAACTAAATAAATTAACTACAATTAACTAATTTCATTCACTAAAACTAACTTAACTAAACTTAACTAAACTCATTAATTGCAAATAATAAAATTTTATTTCATTAACTAATATTACTAAATTAATTAACTACAAATAATAAACTTAAGTTAATTAACTAATATTATTAACATTAACTAAATCAACTAAAATTATTAAAATTAAACTAACTAAATTTAATTAACTATCATTAATAAAATTAAATTAATTAACTAAGGCGCGCATGGGCGGCGGAGTGGCGGTGGCGTGCGATTCTGCTGCTCCGCCTCTATCTCTGTCTTGCCGAGAACCCAGACGCAAAAGAGAGAAAAGAAAGCAAGAAGAAGAAGAAAAGGAAGAAGGAGAGAGGAGGGGGAGATGAGGTAGACGCAGGAGAGGAAAGGAAGAAGAAGAAAAGAAAAGAAATAAAGTATGTCCAATTTCTAGATGATTCCGGTTCGATCTGAACCGGATTGGTCTGATTCAACGACTTAGCTAGATTTTAACTCGATTTGCAGGTTTTTGACATGATTTTTAGGTTATTCATTTGGTTTTCAAAAAATCAATTTGATTTTTGGGTCTGGTTCGACTTATTTTGTTTATTTAGTTCGGTTTCGCAATATTTTCTCTATTTACTCAATTATAATGCAATATTAATAGTAATGATATTTGATTCTAAGACAATTAATTTATATTGCAGTTACATACATATACATACATTTGTAATCAATTAGTAACTAGAGTACCATTTATACATTTGTAATCAATTAGTAACTAGAGTACCATTTTATTTCATCGAAACTTTTTAAGTGTTCTCTAATCGAAATTCCCGAATAATCTGTTTTTGGGCTTGGGCCCAACTCAAAAAATTTGGGCTCGATTTGAGACTGTGTTACATTTACAGCCCACACGGTCAAAATTTCTTATTTTTGATTTAAATTAAATTTAAAAATTTCAAAAATAAAAATTTGGGGTATTACATTTATCAACTAGTGTTGATTTTTTTCATATTTAATTATGTAAAAAAGAAAATTAGCTGAATAGATAATTTTACTCTTAAACTTTGAACTTTAACCATGTGACACTTTTAATTTTGTAGATAATTTATTGTGCACTTGAATTATAAATGTCTATAATATTTCATACTTTTCTGTATTAACAACTTAAATTTTAGAGATTAACTTCTAAATACAAAACATAAATTTATTATATAGTTAATATAATTTTAAAATAATAATTTTTACATATTTCAAATAATTGTTTAATAAATATAATTTTAATAATTAAAATATTATAAAAATAATTTATGAATTAAAGTGTTTAATAAATATAATTTTATAAGTTGAAATTTTGGGTCCCATAAATTTAAAATAATAAAAGTTTAGGGTGAGATTATGTATTCCACCACCATAACCGACCTTTGGAGGTAAGGCTCTTGCATTTTGTATGTAATGTAAGAAAGAAGCAGCTGCAGGCTGCAGCCCAAGAAAGCATTTACTGGACATTGATTGGTCCAATTTGCAATAAGGACCTCAAAGAAATTGTTTTTTCAGCAGAAAAGGAAAGAGGGTACCCAAATCAATACTCTTTCTTTCACATAAAACCCTAATCCTTTCAAATCATTTCATTTCCCTCTCAAAAACCCTAATTCTCCACCCCCCTCTCTCCCTCCATTCCTCTCGGAAACCCTTCCTACTCCAACCATGTACCTTTACAGCCTCACGCTTCAACGAGCTACCGGCATCGTCTCCGCTATCAATGGCAGTTTCTCCGGTGGCAAGTCTCAAGAAATCGTTGTAGCTCGCGGCAAAGTTCTCGATCTTCTCCGCCCTGACGAGAACGGTAAGCTTCAAACCATTCTGTCTGTTGAAATCTTCGGTGCTATTCGCTCTCTAGCTCAGTTTAGACTAACTGGATCTCAGAAGGACTATATTGTTGTTGGGTCAGATTCGGGAAGAATTGTAATTCTTGAATATAACAAGGAAAGGAATGTTTTCGATAAAATACACCAGGAAACTTTTGGGAAATCTGGGTGTCGCCGGATTGTTCCTGGTCAATACTTGGCCATTGACCCGAAAGGAAGAGCTGTAATGATAGGTGCCTGTGAGAAACAGAAGTTAGTTTATGTTTTGAATAGGGATACTGCTGCTAGGTTGACGATTTCCTCGCCTTTAGAAGCACACAAGTCTCACACAATAGCGTATTCAATTTGTGGTGTGGATTGTGGATTTGACAACCCAATATTTGCCGCTATTGAGTTGGATTATTCAGAGGCGGACCTGGATTCTACTGGGCAGGCTGCCAGTGAGGCGCAGAAGCATTTGACATTTTATGAGCTTGATTTAGGTCTTAATCACGTGTCTAGGAAGTGGTCTGAACAGGTTGATAATGGGGCTAATATGCTTGTTACGGTGCCTGGAGGCGGGGATGGACCTAGTGGAGTTTTAGTTTGTGCTGAGAATTTTGTGATTTATAAGAATGAGGGGCATCCAGATGTGAGGGCAGTGATTCCAAGGCGTGCTGATTTGCCTGCTGAGCGAGGAGTTCTGATAGTTTCTGCAGCTACTCATAGGCAGAAGTCTATGTTTTTCTTTCTGTTGCAGACTGAATATGGTGATATTTTTAAGGTTACATTGGATCATGATAATGACAAAGTCAAGGAGTTGAAGATCAAGTATTTTGATACAATTCCCGTTACTGCTTCAATGTGCGTTTTGAAATCAGGGTTTTTGTTTGCTGCGTCGGAGTTTGGGAATCATGGTTTGTATCAGTTTAAGGCAATTGGGGAGGAAGCTGATGTGGAGGCCTCATCAGCTACTTTAATGGAGACTGAGGAGGGTTTCCAGCCTGTTTTTTTCCAACCAAGGGGGTTGAAGAATCTTGTTAGGATTGATCAGGCTGAGAGCTTGATGCCAATTATGGATATGAAGGTTGCTAATCTTTTTGATGAAGAAACACCTCAGATATTTTCTCTTTGCGGGCGTGGTCCTCGGTCATCGTTGAGGATACTGAGGCCAGGTTTGGCCATTAGCGAGATGGCTGTTTCACAGCTTCCTGGTGTACCGAGTGCAGTGTGGACTGTGAAAAAGAATTTTAATGATGAATTTGATGCATATATCGTTGTGTCTTTCAACAATGCAACTCTCGTGCTTTCAATTGGAGAGACAGTTGAGGAAGTGAGTGACAGTGGGTTTCTTGATACTACGCCTTCACTTGCTGTTTCTTTGATTGGTGATGATTCTTTGATGCAAGTTCACCCAAATGGTATTAGGCATATAAGGGAAGATGGGCGTATAAATGAATGGAGAACTCCAGGAAAGAGAACGATTGTGAAGGTTGGCTCCAATAGACTTCAAGTGGTTATTGCTTTAAGTGGAGGGGAGCTTATATATTTTGAGGTTGATATTACTGGTCAGCTAATGGAGGTGGAGAAGCATGAGATGTCAGGAGATGTTGCCTGTTTGGATATAGCCCCGGTTCCAGAAGGAAGACAGAGGTCCCGATTTCTTGCTGTTGGTTCATATGACAACACTATCCGTATCCTATCTTTGGATCCCGATGACTGTATGCAGATTCTGAGTGTTCAAAGTGTTTCATCACCTCCAGAATCCCTCCTCTTTCTTGAGGTTCAGGCATCAATAGGTGGGGAGGATGGTGCTGATCACCCTGCTAGTCTTTTCCTTAATGCCGGTTTGCAGTCTGGAGTTCTATTCAGGACAGTTGTGGACATGGTTACAGGCCAGCTTTCTGACTCTCGTTCTCGATTCTTGGGACTGAGGGCACCAAAACTCTTCTCCATTATTGTGAGAGGCCGGCGTGCGATGTTGTGCTTATCAAGTCGTCCCTGGCTTGGTTATATTCACCAAGGGCATTTCCTTTTGACACCCCTCTCCTATGAGACCCTTGAATTTTCTGCTTCATTCTCATCTGATCAGTGTGCAGAAGGTGTGGTCGCTGTAGCTGGAGATGCATTGAGGATTTTTACCATTGAAAGGTTGGGAGAAACATTCAATGAAACTGCAATACCTCTAAGGTACACTCCAAGAAAGTTTGTGCTTCAACCTAAGAAGAAACTTTTGGTTATTATTGAGAGTGATCAAGGAGCATATACAGCAGAGGAGCGTGAAGCAGCCAAAAAGGAGTGTTTTGAGGCTGCTGGGATGGGGGAAAATGGAAGTGCCAGTGCTGATCAGATGGAAAATGGTGGTGATGATGAGGATAAAGATGATCCTCTCACTGATGAGCAGTACGGTTATCCAAAGGCAGAATCAGAGAAGTGGGTTTCTTGCATCAGAATTCTTGACCCAAGAACAGCAGCCACAACTTGTCTGCTGGAGCTTCAGGACAACGAAGCTGCATTTAGTGTTTGCACTGTAAATTTCCATGACAAGGAGCATGGAACTCTCTTAGCTGTTGGTACTGCCAAGGGACTCCAGTTTTGGCCAAGAAGAAGTTTAGTTGCTGGATTTATTCATATTTATAAGTTTGTGGACGATGGGAGAACGCTGGAACTTTTGCACAAGACACAAGTGGAGGGTGTACCGCTTGCTTTATGCCAGTTTCAGGGAAGACTACTTGCTGGAATAGGATCTGTTCTCAGACTGTATGACTTGGGGAAGAAGAGGTTGCTTAGAAAATGTGAGAATAAGCTTTTCCCCAACACCATCGTCTCTCTTCACACCTATCGTGATAGGATCTATGTCGGTGATATTCAAGAGGTATGCTTTCTAAATAATCAGATCTGGACATTTCAAATTTTCTTTTAGATATTTATTCATTCATTCATTTTTAATATGTTTGCATGTTTTTATACCCTCTCTTTCCCTATAGTTTTGCTGACCGCATTTCTTCTGATGTATGCTTTCCAGTCATTCCATTTCTGCAAATACAGGAGGGATGAGAATCAGCTCTATATATTTGCTGATGATAGTGTTCCAAGATGGCTTACTGCATCATACCACATAGATTTTGATACTATGGCAGGTGCAGACAAGTTTGGGAATGTCTATTTCGTGCGGTTGCCACAAGATGTTTCTGATGAGATAGAGGAAGATCCAACTGGTGGAAAGATAAAGTGGGAACAGGGCAAACTTAATGGTGCTCCAAACAAGGTAGAGGAGATAGTACAGTTTCATGTTGGTGATGTGGTTACTAGCCTGCAGAAGGCATCACTAATTCCAGGCGGTGGAGAATGCATCATTTATGGAACAGTAATGGGGAGCTTGGGGGCACTGCTTCCGTTCACTTCTAGAGATGATGTTGACTTCTTTTCACACTTGGAGATGCATTTGAGACAGGATCACCCACCTCTATGTGGAAGAGACCATATGGCATATAGATCTGCTTATTTTCCGGTTAAGGTAAGGAATAGTATCTTCAAAACCATAAATACTTGGTATAGCTATTAACTGTTTTATATGATTATTTCAAAGAAAATTCTCTTATGATGCACTGTATTCATATTTTTCTCTGGATTCATTGTGCTAATCCATATTTTCTGTAATTTTGTAGGATGTGATCGATGGAGATCTATGCGAACAGTTCCCAACTCTACCCCTTGATGCACAGAGAAAAATTGCTGATGAATTAGATAGAACTCCTGGGGAGATACTGAAGAAACTTGAAGAAGTTAGGAATAAGATCATTTAAGGAAGGATGCATGCTTGAAGGTGGTTTTTTTTTTTTTTTTTTTTTTATGCATGCTTGAGGTGGTTTTTTTTTTTTTTTTCTTTTTTGTCAAACTTTATGTTATTTTTGGTGTTTTTTTTTTTTTTTTTTTTTCTTGTCAACTTTATGTTATTTTTGGTTCTGCATAGCAATTTCTTGAAGTAGAGAACCAGAACATAAACTTCTTTTAATGAACGTATAATGTTTCATTGTGTGCATGCATGTGTCCTAAGAGCATTAATATGCTATTACATTTTATGAATTTGGATTTCACCAATGATGTTCATGGAGAATTTTGTCTTGCATGTGCAGGCGTTTTCTTACTGGAGTTTATTTGAGGAAAAGATCAGGTTTGGCCATCGGATTGTCTAAGAAATTCAAACCTGATAATTAGACAGCTGCATACCTTAATGGCAGGACCAGCCACTTGTACTTTATCAGTGAAACAGAAAGTAATGGAGAAGAAATTAGAAAAAAAGGCTTGCTGGAAGCTTTTTTTAGTTGAAAGAAGCATGAGGAAGTATCAGAACCTCCACTGTGACCCATTCTGTAGATGTAATTTGTGAATGCAAAGTGTTAGCTTTGTTGTTTTACAGGTAAAAATATTCTCCATTTACGAGCGTAGAGTAGAGCTCTGTGTTTTGTTCCTTGTAGTTTTATTTCTACTGATTCGCTGAATTATATGATATGTTTTAAATAGGTTACCTTGATTGGCTCAAAGCAACTCAGTTTTCGTATGATCTCAACAAAGATTCCTCAAAGTTTTATCTGTCTTAGAGGCAGAAAATAAATTTAGATGGTTACTGATTACAAATGTGCTGGCTTGAATGCAACAACCAGACTGCAAATGACAGTAATAATGACCAAAAATTTATAAACCTTTCCTAAGAGAAATATCAATACTAATGGACTATTAATTTTCCTTGGCCAAAACAAAAAAAGGTAGCAATAATTTAATTGAAGAAATTATTAAATCAAACAGAACAGCTCACATCAACGTTAGCTTTACACATGAAATCCACTCATTATAAAATTTGGCCATATATATATAAAGAATAAGGTACTGCTAGCCTACTTCAAACTAGAATTGGAAGCATCCTACCACCACATAATTTATTGAAGTTTTCCTTTCTGTCATCAAGTAGTGGAACATCCAATCAAATCTTTTTTTTCCCTTCTCCTTTCCCTTGCTTAGCACAAAAAGGATACAAAAACTATTGATGGTTCCCAAACTTGTTATTTGGATTTTATTCACTTAGGCAAACCATCATTTGCTTGTTTTAACTCTCTCTCCAATCTTGTATTTCCAAGGTTAGTTCTGTCCACTAACCACCCAATAATGTCTTTGAAAACAATTTCAATGTTTTCTAATGGCTCACCATAAAGCAAGCCATGCCACATATCTGGGTATAGCTTTATTGTTTTGTCTTTGCTTGAAGCCACACTGTGGAGTTGCTTACTGCATGAGCAATCAGTCACTTTGTCTGCTTCTCCATGTAGAACTAGAAATGGCAGTGATACCTATTGAATAGTAAAAATCAAACATAAATTTCATTATTAGCTTTCTAGTTATTTCGGTCCGGTCTAAATCTCGCTAACTTACGAAAAGAAAAGAAAAGAAAAAGGAAGGAGATGAACAAACCTCCTGAAGGCTTTGCTCAATTTCCTTGGTAGTTCTGAAAAGTTCATATCCAGTTTTCAAGCGAGGCTTCCCTTTGTAGCAATATGGGTTTGATCTAACCTGCAATTTCATTTTGCATTAATATTACATTATGGTACTCATAAACTGCATAATTTTGCATATTAAGTAAAATTGATACCTGTTCTCTAACTTGAGGTACTTTAAACGCAACATCAATTATGTCCTTTGAAGGAATTATTTTCCATGTTGGTATATAACTGGTAAGCTTTTCAAGAACACTAATTACCATTGGATGTGGCTTCATGTCTTCAGCAAGCTGTACATCAATTCAATAATTAAGTCACTCTCTCCTCAATATCAATTGGACCTTAATTAGCCATCTAGGTTTATAATTTTTGTCCTTCATCGATATATATAGCAAGCATGTTTTTTTTTTCTAGAGAATGAGGTGAAAGATTGCTAAAATTTGGTAGTGCCATGTAACATTAGAATAGTTATATCACAGAAAATTTCAGGATTTCAAAATGCTTTAAAAATTTGTAATATGGTATATAAATTGTTTTATTTTAATTTTTTTATTAATTAAAAATTAATTTTCAAATAGATGGAAAAAAAATATAAACATCAAGACATAATAATAATAATTAATGATATAAAAAATAATAATCATTTGATGAAATAAATAATTAGCATAATAACTTTTTTTTTCCACTAAATGAAATGCCCATTTCAAAATCATAAATTTTTATAATTACATAAATAAATAGAATTAACCATAATATCTTATTTTGTAATAATTTTATCATATACTTTTAAAATGATTTAATATTATAATTACAATTTGCAAAATATTTAATTATATTTTTTCAATTAAATTTGAAGGGTGTAAATTTTAAAATTATTTATCTACAAATCAATTATATAAAGATTAAAATATTTTAATAAAAAAAGAGATATAAAAATTAAAATTAAATATTAAAAATTAATATTTATTAAAATTATTTATACATAACGCAAGCATGTAGTTAGTTATATATAAAAATTAGGCATTTACTAATAGTTAAATTTTTAATTTTGTTTTTAGATATATAATTCTTTTCACAAATCTAACCACTCTCTCATTCTCTCAAACCTAACCCTCTAAATATATTATAGTGCTAATGTTTAGGAATTTGAGTGGACAACAAAAAAAAGGCTGTGACCCAACAAAAAAAAAAGAAGATGAGAGAGAGAGAGAGAGAGAGAGAGAGAGAGGAAACAAAGGAAAGGTCAAAAAAAGAAAGGACAAACACAAACAATTACCTTACACATGGGAGCCACCAAAACTGCACCATCCCAAAACTCAGGCTTCTTTTTATGCAAGAGAAGAGTCACTGCTCCTCCCATCGACTCTCCTAACAAATATCTCATCTTCCCTTTATTCCCTGCCTTCTCTTTAATCATACAATCAATTCAAAATTACCATATTCATTAATCTACACATATATTCAAAAACAAATTACAAATGATCAATATCAGCAGGAACGGACGCAAGCTTTAGGAGGGAAGGACCCTGAGAATAGATGAGTCCTTGAAGTTCACATTTTATATTCCCTCCCCTCAGTTTTGAATCCTGCGTCCTTCCCTGCTTATCAGCCACATGCTCTGTATAAAAAACTTACCACACATGGCTGTATAATGTTTAGAGACATCATCAATAATAAGATCCATATTATCGACAAAACCAGATAATCCATCTGATTTTCCATGTCCTTCGTAATCTATACCGTATACTGCAAAACCTTCCTTTGCCAGCCTCATCGCAGTACCTGATCATATCATAATTAGTATATATGCAATTATATAAACGAAGAAGAAATCAAAGCTTTTGGTTCTTGAATTGATATAAATATTAACTGTCCATTGTAATACTGCATTCCATGGCATAGCCATGGCAGATAAAGACCAAAGCTTTTGGTTCTTGATTTGTAGGAATCCATTGACATGTAAATAGCTTTAATCCTCTGGAATTCAAGATAAATTCCTGTAAAATTCAAGAAATATGTAAATATAAAAATATTTATTAATCAATAATTTCGTACATAAAAACAGTTCATCAGGCTAATTTACCTCATCGTATTTGACATTTTCAGTCTCTCTTGCCTGGAAAATTTCAAGAAAAAGAAACACGTAAACCACCAAAATATATAATATTAATGAAAAGAAACAGAGAGGATGTCTCTGAAACAAAGAAAGAGAGGAATACCATGAAATATGGATCCAGAAAGTTTTGGGTTTGAGAAGATTTATGTGTATAAGAGAAGAGGGAATTATCTATATAAATGAATTTAAGACGGAAGAAAGATTGAGAGAAAGAGATGAAATAAAGAGATATGAAGAAGAAATCATATGAAAGAGAGAGAGAGATATATAGATGTGCATGGGATGGGATCAGACTGATTCTCACCCCCGGAATTAAGGAGTTTCAGATAGAGTTAGACTTTTTTTTTTTTACGGATATAAATAACAACTGTAAGAAAAAAAAAAAAACAGCTAAGCCTTAATTCCAAATTAATCGGTTCAATTATATGAATTTTTACTATTATTATACATATTAAAAAAAAGGGAGATTTATTTTTTTTTCTGTTTTTAGATTTTCTCTAGATTTTGTTGAAACTTAATTAAGACATCTTAATCCTGAAAACAATTCTAATCTTACTAGGTTAATGATTATTTGAAAAAAAAAAGAAAAATAATACATTATGGCAAGTATATATCCATTTTAGGTACAATCTCAAATTGAAATTGAAGTCTCCCTTCCTCAATGTTCAAAATAAAGATTTCACCTTTATAATTTATCTTTTGATTATAGATAGATTGAAAACTAGGTATACTGTAAAGTATTTAATGTATCTATATATTCCGTGTTCATATTGAATAGTGATACTTCTCGGACACATATATTATACTGCAAATCGTGTTTAGATGTA